TAATTTCTTTTTTTGTTGTAATTGTTTTCCTATACTAAAAATTAGGGTCAATTAGAGCAAGGATCTTATCAATTTTATTCATATACACAATGCTGCGAACAATACCCAGTTCAAAGTAAACCTGGTATGTGTGTATGTGTGTGTGTGTTCATGTGTCTCACATTTTTGCCTTCTGAGGCTACACTGTAAAAAATCTCTTTAAACTTCCCTTCTTTTCTTAATCCAACTGAAGAAGTTCCTAAAAGATAATTTAAGAAAAGTATAATAGATTAGTTCATGATCTTAAATTTAGCCTAAGAAGAAAATGCAGTTGAATGGGATCACCAGCCACACAAAACACTAGTAATTCAAGGCAGATCAGCATTCATCTTGAACTGTGTATGTCCTATTTTAGCAAAACATAAGGGAAAATTAAGAACAAAGAAGCCATTTTATTAATTCTTCTAGACATTATAGAATTTTTGTCCCTCATAGAATTTTTTTTCATTATTGAGCTTTATTGTTTTGACGTAGGTAAAAACAAAGAACTTCAACCATTCATTTAGAGTATGTATTGATTGAAGCATTAGCTGTACCAGACACTGTTCTGGGTATGTGGGACCTGTCAGGGTCTAGTTGTCCTAGAACTTGAGTTTTATTTTACTCCTTTTATCTGGGTACTGCCATATAAAAGTAGCTATTGTTATGGTTATTTGCTACTTATTCAGCATCCCACAGAGGCTTCTTTGCAAAAACTGGAAAAGTGAGCAAGGAATTCATAAACACTTTATTCATGAGCAAAATTAAAGTTTGTTTCTCATTTTTGATTTGGGTTGCTAGGAAGTTTAGTTTGTTGTTAACTTGAGTAACTGGGTAAGGTTTTATGCCCATCCTATTCTATTCCAATACTAAATTTTCCCCCTTTGGAGCTCCTTATAGTTCAACTTCATCTATATTTTCACTGGCTTTTAAAGTTTTTGAATTGCTTTATTTTTACTGTATGCTAATGTACTGTAAACTGCTTCCTATCTTCCTATTCCCTTTGTGGGACTAAAGGACCAAGATAAACATTAGAAGGAAACAGACAATTCCAGAATGTGATGCATTTTTTCCAAGGTCATTGATCTTTTCTCTTCAAAAATCTAGTATCAAGAAAAAGTACAAGGTGGAAGGAACTGTTCAAGTTGAGAAATGGGGTGGGTGGGGTAGCCACAACTAAATGCAATTGTGATCCTTGGTTTGAGCCTGTATCAAAAAAATGTATCTTCTATAAAAGATTATTTGCGGGTCCTCCCTGGTGGCTCAACAGGTTAAAGCGCAGCACTATGAAATGATACACAACCACTGCACCATGAGTTCAACTCCTGGCCGGGGAGGTGATCCACATGGCATGGCAGACCTCTCCTATCTAGACAACTGCCCCCTCAGCAATGTATTTCAGTACATCTGCCTGTGCTGCTCCCCATTCTGTCTCTGGTGAATCTTCTCCCCGCCCTCGCACCTCTAGCCTGTGCCCCAGTTCTTGTATGCATAGATAAATAAATCTTAAAAAAAAAAATTGAGGAAAATAGGAGATTTGTATATGGCCTGGGTAAAAGATAATATCAGCAAAGAGTGTTCATTTCTTAGGATTTGTTACTATCAATAAGATCATAGAAGAGATTGTGAACTATGTTAGAGGACTATGGCTGTTTTGGTGGGGGGCGTGGTGTGGCAACAACATCTAAAGGGGGAATTCCTATACCTCTAAATCATACACACAGCTGTAAACCAACATTAGTTCAATTAGAAAAGAAAGATCATAGAGGGTAGTCCTTACTTTTAGAGACCCATACAGGAGCATCTTGTGGTTGTCAGCAACTTTGGGGAAATCCAGCAAAAAATGATGATGCTTAAAACACATACAGAGCTTCCCATCTTGCAAGATGGTAGGTGAAAAAAATGAGAAGGAAGCTACCATGAAGAGGAGAAACCTGAAGCCAAGAAGGCTGATGCTGATGGCAAGTTTAAGAAGATCAAGGCTAAAACTTCTAAGAAGAGGAAGTCACACTGCAGCCAAACTCCTGTTATAGTCAGAGCATTTGGCAGATATTCCTAATCTGCTATGTATTTCAGAAAAGTCATGAATACTAGTAAATATTCAGCAGCAAAATCCAGGATTTAAAAGTAAAAGAAGTTTCTTGTTGCTATCACAAAACCAGCTGGTGGTAATAAGAATGATAGGATCGAGTAGTTAAAATTTGTAAAATGCCTAGATATTAACTGATTGAATATATGAAACAGGCTGCTAGAGAGAGGGTGGTTATAGCCTCCAAAGGACAGTGCCCAATAGAGGATAGGTTACTATTTGTGGGTTCTTCATTTAGGTGGACAACTGTAGGACCACTCAGGCTCAGGGAACAACGGGGTTTATAACAAACAGGGGAAACAAGAAGTTCTCAAGGCCAGGCTGGCTACTTCACCCAAGTAGCGTCCATTCTGTCAAAAAGTCCTTTTATCTAAGATGGTGTTGTCCCACCAACAAAGCTTAGAGTGTGTGGCCAGATGAGACTCTCACAAGCAGGTCTGATGATCAAGAGCATACCAACATGCTCCCAGGGGCACTTTTGAGAGATGAGTCATGGGGCAGGTTTGCAAGGCAAGGCACTGCTCTGGAGTGAGGTCTTTTGCTATTTATTTAGTAATAGTGAACAAGCATGACTGATTATGTGACAATGGCAGGAGAAGCAGGGTCCAGGAGAAACAAAGGAGAACAAGACTTCAAAGGCATCAAAGGGTAATGAATTTTATGGGGAAAAGGGAGGACATGTTGGTTGCGTGTACAGTGAGAACTTTCCATGCAGGTGCATGGTATACTTTTCAAGCTACTCCCAGACTGTCTTAGACCATGACCACACGATAAGTTAATGGTTACCTAAGCATTCCCAGTCATCTCATGATGTGGACCATTGTCTCAAGGCAGTCATGTGGAAGTGTCTTATCCAAATCTTTTACACACACAGGTGTCTAGAGAGGCCATGCACACATAGATGCAGAGGCCCCAGGTGGAAAAGAGGGCACAAGCAGACTGCTGAGATGGCACTGCAGCAGCCTGAAGCAAGTCTGAGGTCAGGATAGACAGCACTGGATGCTGGACCAGATAGCAACAGAGGCAGCAGCACCAGATGGTGATACCACCTGGTGATTAACAGCTCTGATAAGATGACCTGGATACAGAATGCCAGTCACCCATCAACAGTTGACCTGTACACAGAGTGCCAGTCACCCATCAACAGTGCTGGATAGCATTGGCCAGTAGTGCCAGTCACTACCATTACAGTTCTTTGTGAGTTGTTGCTCCACAACAACTTTTTGAGACACCAAACCCAAGGCCTGGTGATCCTTTCAGGGGATGTCAGAGGCAGGCCAGAGGTAGATGCACCCAGCCCAGCTTCTGTCTCTGGTTTCTCTGCAAAGCTTTTCAGCTTCTTTTTTTTTCATCAGAGATTGGCTACTGAAGGCTTCTAAGAGCATCCAGTCCAAGTGAGCAAGTGTGTGGTCCAAGCAAGTAAGTCTAGTGAGCCCAAGTGAGCAAGTCTCAGAACACAGTGAAGCCGTCCAAGTAAGTCAGTCCAGAGCCTGAAAATCCAGACAGCACAGGTGTGCCAGCATTCTAAGCTTGCTTCTCTAGGGCCTTCTCTCCTCTTTCCAGGATCCCCCACCGATCAGCCTGTTTGGAGTATTGATTAATCTGCTCATAGTTCATCCCTTATGGGCCCAATCAATGATTCAGGCACCAAATCTGTGGGCTTCTCTACTCCTGGCAGCTTGAGGGAGCCACTTTGTTAGGGAAGGCCCCTTGGAGCCCTAGGGGGATTGGGGGATGGGATGACAGGGGAATCACTTCCATCACCCATCACCCATCACTGCTGGCAGAGCCAAGCAGCCTAAGCCTCATGGGCCTACTAGAGGCTGGTGGTAAAATACCCACCACATGCTGACACTTGCACTGCCTGAACCATAGTGCCTGGAGCCCCAAGGGAAGAGCCTTGGGTATCAGATATACCTCATAGCTGTTGAACCACAGGGAAAACAACCCTTCAGTAAGCATGCGAGAAAACTGCAAGTTCGCACTACTCCTGGGACCATTCTGATCATTCTAGCAGGGCAACAGAGGCAAGAGGTTAGTTTTGATTCAGCTGAGCAGCGGTTTGCCCTCCATGGCATTCCCCCTGATAGTAACACACCAGAAATTTGTCATTGCAATCTACACCCAAATTGGTACCAGTGATGTTATTATCCCAAAAGATCTCACTGATAACCTGCTTCAAAAAGAATTTGCATAAGCCCTGACACCAGGAAGATCTTCTGAGATACAAATTGCAGAACAGCTTGTTTGAGTGCACTTGCAAATTCAGCCAAAAAATCAACGCCACTTCTCAGTTCCAGGGAGCTATAAAATATTTTAACAAAATAAAACACATGGTAAAATGTTAGTTGTTGAACTGTTCAGTCTGGGTACTAGCTAGTATCGTTGACTTCAGAATGGATTTTGTATATTCTAATATTTTATATATTTTGGAAATTTTTTAAATAACTTGAAAAACTAAGTTATCTATGAGTGGTTTACTCGTTCACTTCTTGTCTCCTACTGTTCTATAAATGTTTTAGTGAAAAGCTCTTGGATTAAGATACAGGAGCATTTCAAGTGGCACTGATCACCAATTTTTAAATCCAGGCAGAGCCAGGATAACTTTTAAGATTATTCGGCCCTTTGGTGAAAACTCACTTTGGAGCGACACTGGTTCTACTGGAAGTGGAAACTAGAACACAAACGGCGGAGAACTGAGGGCTGCGAGAGCAGACTTTTCCAACAAACCTGGGGTTTGTGGTTTTCGCCTACGCGAACTGAATTACATCACCGAAGAGTCAGAATAACCCCCACTCCAGAGTTCGCTGAACTCTCGCGATACTAGAAGCTGGAGGCGCGCGAAATGCCGTGGGAGGGGCTGAGGCAAGACCGACAGACTTCCGGCCAGGCCGTTGTCTAGGTGGCACGGTCGAGTCATCTCTGGGCCTCGCCGCTCCGAGCTCGCATCCCTCCTCCCCCCCGCCTCGGCGCGGGGGGTCGACCCGCCGAGTAGGGCGGGAAGCGACTTGGACCTTCAGCTCCCTTTCTTTCTGGCTAGCTCCCAGCTACCCGCGCTGGGGCCTGGGGTCTTTGGGGCCCGCGAGGCCCGGTCTGAGTGGCCGGGGCCTACGTGGGCCCGCCACTGGGCTCCATGAGGCATAGCCTGACCAAACTGCTGGCGGCTTCGGGCAGCGACTCCCCAGCCCGCAGCGAGAGCCCGGCGCCGGCTGCGACCTGCTCACTGCCACAGGACCCGACCCGGGCGGCTGCGGCCGAGGAGGTGAAGGAGGAGGCCGCGGCCCTCGGATCTCCAGGCCGCCGCAAGCAGTCGCGCGGCGACGAGGGCGAGCTGGAGGCCGGAAGTGGGGGCCGCGGCGGCGTGGCCGTGCGCGCGCCCTCGCCTGAGGAGATGGAGGAGGAGGCCATCGCCAGCGTCCCAGGCGAGGAGGCGGAGGACATGGACTTTCTGTCCGGTCTGGAGCTGGCGGACCTGCTCGATCCTCGGCAGCCGGACTGGCCCCTGGAGCCCGGGCTCAACTCGCCCGGGCCTCTCTCGTCCGGCGGAGGCTCAGATAGTGGCGGCCTGTGGCGAGGGGACGATGACGACGAGGCCGCGGCTGCCGAGATGCAGCGCTTTTCTGACCTGCTGCAGAGGCTGTTAAACGGTATCGGAGGCTGCAGCAGCGGCAGTGACAGTGGAGGCGGCGAAAAGAGGCGGAGAAAGTCCCCTGGAGGCGGCAGCGGCAACGACAACAACCAGGCGGCGACAAAGAGTCCCCGGAAGGCGGCGGCGGCTGCTGCCCGTCTCAACCGGCTGAAGAAGAAGGAGTACGTGATGGGGTTGGAGAGTCGAGTCCGCGGGCTGGCGGCCGAGAACCAGGAACTGCGGGCCGAGAATCGGGAGCTGGGCAAGCGCGTGCAGGCACTGCAGGAGGAGAGTCGCTATCTACGGGCTGTGTTAGCCAACGAGACCGGACTGGCTCGGTTGCTGAGCCGGCTGAGCGGCGTGGGACTGCGGCTGACCACCTCGCTCTTCAGAGACTCGCCCGCCGGTGACCATGACTACGCTCTGCCCGTGGGAAAGCAGCAGCAGGACCTGCTGGAAGAGGATGACTCAGCGGGAGGAGTGTGTCTTCATGTGGACAAGGATAAGGTGTCGGTGGAGTTCTGCTCGGCGTGCGCCCGGAAGGCGTCGTCTTCTCTTAAAATGTAGGGTCAAGTAATCTGCTCTTTATCCGCGTTTACCCCTTTCAACTCCCTTACACCATGTAAAACACCTTAGTGGGACATCTTCACTGGACACATTTCAGAGGAGGAAAAAACGTAATATTGAGTCTTTAAGTGTTTAGCTAAAAGCATGAATGTGACACTGTAACCAACTCCTAAGATAACATGTGACTATTAAATCTCTCTGACAGTTTCTTTTTTAGGTGATTTCCTTCCTGCCAGGCTCCGTTGTAGGGGTTACAGAACAGTCGTTCCCGCCTCACAACCTGGTAAGGATCCATCTCTTCACGTAACGCTCATGCTCTGCTGCTTAGTCTACTTTAATGGGCAACATCTCAATTTGTGTGTGTGTGTGTGTGGTTTTTCTTTTATTTTTTGGAAGGTGGGAGGGGAATCTAATTTGGGCCCTGTCCACCCTGGAAACAGACTTGTGCTGGTCAATACTGTATTTAAGATGTTTCCTCTGGTTGAACTAGCTGTTAATGTGTCCCCTTGTTCAGACTTGCGTGTGTACCTAGCTCTTCTGTCCCCAGTGTGGACATGGCCTTGGATGACATCGGTTCCAACTGTACACTGAAAGCTGCTAATAGAGATACAGTTTGGAGACAGTGAAACAGGTGAAGTTGAATGGAAGTTCCGAGTTGTACAAGGTGCAAACCGGAATTCCAATTTTAGAGCAACTTTTCAGAGGTTGACAATAAGCACATGGGGCATGCAAAATGTGATAGTTGTTTTGCTGAAGATGACAGAAATCTCTTACCTATTCAACAATGCCTTTTAGTTTTCAGTAGAGACCTAGAAATACAATCTACTGAGATTAACATACTTTAATATCTCTCTAGTGGAGAAGTTGGAAATTAACATGCATATCAGACTCCTGTGTTAGTTAATGGAAGGAAGAATAAAAATGGTTAATGAAATGTCTCTATAAGGACCAGCACAGTGATTATTACCCTATCACTGAGTATGAATAAATTGTTGAACTCCTTTATTTTTGTTGTATTAAAATTCTAGGTTAAATTTGTGTATGATTAAATATTGAAGGTTGTGAAATGTGAATGAAAACGTGTAAAGTGAGGCTTCACAAAGAATCTTATTCTTTTTTAAGGTCCTACTTACAAATTAAATATTAAAATTAAGTGGTTCTCACTAACTTTGATAATATGATTGACAGTTTTTCCAAAGATGGGATATATTTTTCCCTTGAAAAAATCTTCTCTGTTTGCTATTGTTCAGTTGTATAACTTGAGTTATGGTATTCTTCAGTGTTGAGCATTACAAAATTCTTTGTGAAACATCACTGTATGATAAAGTATATACATATTTAGCATCCTTGTTTTTCTTTGTGCTAAAGTGGATACAGCTGTTGGGGCAGAAGAGACGGGACCAGCTGCTGGCCACATTTCCTGCTTTATTTTAAAAGGTAGTATAAGAAATGAGGAAAAGAGGTAATATCAGGGCTTCTGCTATCTTTTATTTTAAACTGTTCATGATTAAAAAGTATTTTCCAGCAGTCCAAAGATGTAAGTTATCTTACACATAAAATGTTTTATTTTGTTGTTACTTGCTTATGAAAATGGAATCCTTGTTCTTGGACAACTGTAACTGTTTTGTTGCCAGATAATACAATTTGAGACTTAACTCGGTCTCTGGTTTCCAGTGCATCACAGCATATTTTGTAAAATCATCTACTGCACTTGAGCATGAATGGGTAGTAGCCAGACTCAACCAGGAGTGATGAACCTGCTTATACCTAAGTGCAGGAGCAAGCCCCTCACAATGCAGCTGCATGGATTTTTAGTGCCTACTGAATTATATATATCTATATATATAAACCAAAAGTAGTTGGAAAAATTATTTGAAATGACTAATTTGTGCTATCTTTATGGAATATGTTAAATGTAGTTTTTGAAACAAAAGCCTTGAATTGAAATTTAATTAATACTTGAACATTTTGTATATATTTCTTTGTATATAATTTTGTGCAGTACCAATGACAAAATTATGGTGTCATAATAAAATCAGGTTTGTTGATCTTTCAGTTATGGGCTCAAAGAATTTATTCATCTCTAACTGACATTGGAAAATAATGGATGAAAATAGGAAAAATGATTGTTATTAATGCTGACTGTGGGTCTTAAAAGGTTCTGGAAGCAGTAAGTGTGTTTTTCTAAAAATTATACTATTCCCTTGGAATATTTTCTTCCTAACATCAGTGCTTTTCCTGCATTATTTGAATTTGGGGGGCTTGGGGAGAAATAGTAGTCAAAGCTTTCTGAATTGGGATGCTTTGAAATTCCAAGTGTAGATTTTTAGGATGTCATTTTATAAATGGCAGTTTTGGGAAATACTTGATTAAGAACTTCTGAGAATGGAGATTAGTTTTTGCTTATTTTAAAAGCTCCTTTGTTAGGTTCCTTATGTTTAAATGTCTTAGTTTCCATTTCATTCTTTTTTTCCTAATTTTGGTAACTTAATGATTTTGTCATTTTTTTACATCAACTTCATGGTCTTGTTTTTACATGGTATTGCATGTATTTAGGACCTAATCTAATAGGGGTTTTAAATAAATTGAGTCACTGATGTGTAAGCACATTTTGATGTAAATGTTTGGTTTCTGAATTTACAACAGATCTGTTTATTTCAGTATGTAGTAAATATCTTAAAGTGTCTATTCACAACTTGTAAATTAAAAAGTTATTAATATGAAACCGTTGTCTTACTATTTTTAGAAAATTGTGTTCTGAATGATTAGTTGGATAAAGGAAATTTCTGGAATATATTCTTTTGAATTTTTCAGGCTTGACTGCTGTAATTAATGAGAACATTTTAGTACTTGGGGAACTTGTTTTTTGTATATTATGCTTCTATGGCAGAATGATATAGAACTAAAGATAGAGCATTTAAATACTTGTTTTCTGATGGTGACAGGAATTCATACATTGATAAACACATCATATTGACCTATTTCTAGCATATTGACTTAACTGTTTCTGCACTTCGTTGACCAGACATATCTAAAAATTTTCACATTTGTTAAAATGTTAGTCACACCTGATATGAGCCGACAAAGTTTTCAGAATATTTGAAATATTTGTGCGTTTTATAATCACTAAATTAATCTCTCTCTCTTCTCTTTAAACAGCTTAGCAGTGTCTGCAAAAAACGAATCTTTTCCTACAACCTGTTAACTGACTGGACTGATGGTAACAAAGTAATTGTGGGAGCCATGTCGGTCAAAAATTTGGCATCTGCTGAAAAATGAATGCCATTTTCAAGTTCCCAAATTACTTCTATACTGATTTCACTTTCCAGAAATGGAGATATGAAAAGATTCTCTGGAATCCTTGAAAGACTTAATAGAAATACATCAGACTAAGTTAAATTTTGGAGCAAAATTACACTTTTTTTTTGTCTTTCATGGGAATGATACACAGGTCTTTGCATACTTTTAAAAAGTTGTAACCATTGGAGAAGAGAATTACAGTATTTCGTTGAGAAATATTATTTACATAATCAACACATTCTATGGGGCTACATTTAGTGAAGCATAATTAAACTATAAACAGGCTATTAATAATTACGTGACATATCATGAGTTTACATTTTCTGGAACATGAAAGATAATCTGAGGTACAAATAGACTTTGCTGAGTAGACTCTAAAAGGTAATTAAAGCCCTTAGCTGTATAGATTAGCCTTTCAGAATAGATGCATTGAATTGTCTGCATATCTCTGAAAAAGCTAATTATGATTAAATGTGTTGGTAGTTACTTGCAATTCAGGGTAATACCAGGGTATGTAGGTTTTTAGTTTTTGGTTGCTTTAGCTTTCTCTGAGTACTTGACAAATAGCTTGAGGTTTTCCAATGAAACTATTCTAGTTCTACTATTTTACATTAAAACTTGTCTAGTATATAGAAGGGGCTTTATAGTATTCTGCATGATGGGCGTGGTTTTCCTGTGGAGTATGTTTTAATTGAAACTTTTATTACAAGTCTGATAAAACACAAAAACTGGATTGTTTTCATTTTTGTTGGATTATGCTAATATATCATTTATCTGGTCTAGATTGGCATTGTATCATACTGACTTCTTTGGGACTGTGTAGAAGATAGAAGTGTTAGGGGGGGATAGGAGATAGGCTCTATTCTTTCCAGAAAGACTCATCATAACCGCTTGGTTATTGTGTTAGTATATACAAAACTTACTACATTCAGCTAGTTTCTTGTAATGTGAATGTATTGAGTGCCTGTGAAACAAGGCAACAAAAAGATTGTCAATGGCTATACTTAAGTGGCTGATGGATACCCTAGTATTAGCAGTGGTTGCCCTGGGACAACTGAAGATGAGGCCTCACTACTAGTTGGTGACAGTAAATGCTCCTTTGGTGGAACACAGTGGATAATTCATTGATATGAGTAATTACGTTGCAAGCACAGTATTAATATATTTGAACTTGGATACTGTGGTACTTTGCCAAACATATACCCTGTGAATCTTACAATAGCGTGCTAAGCTTTGATTTGGCTTAGACTGAAAAGTCATTTAAATTATTTTCAAGTGTAAATAAACTATATACATGGAAATAATTTAAATTTTATTCTGAAAATAAAATATTAGGAAAATAAATCATGTAATATTAGTAAAAAATAGAATTTTTCTTAGATGTAAGTTAATAGAAAGTTGCTTGTTAGTTTGCCTTTGTCATTGGTTTGGTTATAATAGTGTTTCAATTCTACCTCTTCTCCAATTTGTACATTCAGGATTTTAGATTTATTTTTTTCCATTTTTTAAAAAGAAACCAGTTTACATGAGATTTTTTTGGATTTCATTGACCCCAAGTTACTTGTTTTGTTGAAGGTATTGTGTTCAATTTTCAATGAATCTAAAAACCTAGTCAGACATTTTGAATATCTGTGTAATTCTGTAATATGCATGGATATGAATTTTCCTGGTAGCCCATTTTAGAATGTGCCTCCAAATTCTGTACCTTTACTGTGTTCCTACTGAGGTCAATTTCCAAGACCACTGGCTTTTTTTTAGTGTTCTACAGTTTGGGGTGGGGGGGTGGGGGTGGAAATATATTAACATACACCCTTCTAATTTAAAAAATTTAAGCATACAAAATAAATTGTAAAAGATCTACGTAGTTTCACTGTGACTGCACTGAAATATTTAAAAAAAAAATTTTCGTGACTAAGGCAGCTTTCTTTAGATCTTGACTGTAAATAACTAAGTCTCTTTAGATTGCAGTCAGATCAGATCATGGTAGGTTCATAGGTCTTATCTGCCCCAGCACCAAAAATAATGGTAGATTTGTAGCGGTAGATTTAAAATAGCATGCTCTCTAACACATAGTAGAGGACAGATGTCAACGAAAGATCCTTCTTGGTTACACATACCAATCCTTATATCCATTTGTAGATGGTACACTAAGTGTTAAATACTGTGGAAGTGTTAAAAATAGGATAAATTAAGGAAACAATCAGTATTAAAGCATTAGTTGTCAGTGCATTTTGAATTACCCAATTACAACATTTTAAATATTAAGGGGGCAAAAGTTTAGTTATTTGTGGTCCTATTTTGAAGTTGGGAATTACCTTGTTTTCACTGCTATAAGAAGAGCTCTGCCTTAGAGGTGACAGAATACAAATAAAATGGGTTAATTTGGGGTCACAGAACTTTATCTTAACATTTTAGCTTATGAAATTGGTATTTATCTTCTAATGTTTTTCCTAATTATGAAAGTAAAGCATACTCACTTTAGGAAACTGGGGAAATACAAAAAGGAAGCAGGATGAAAAAAAAAATCTGTAATTTTATAACTAAGAAAATACACAGTGTAAATCGTAGTTCTTTGACCTCATGAACAGGACCATTTCTTACATAAGTTCGGTTGAATATACCTTTGCTTGCTGAAAAATTGAAAATGTATTTTGATGGTTTCAAATTTTAAGTCTAGCTGCAGGTGTTATTTCTTTTATAAGAAATGGAAAACCTGTTTTACCTGCAACACTGCCTTTTCTAAGTGACAGGAGAAATTCTCCTTTCATGTAATTTTTAAGTAGGTTAAGGTGACAAACATGTTACTGTATTAGGCAGGAGTAGCTGCTTGTGAATATGGCTGCTTGTGAATATGGTAAGATTCTCATGAATATTGATCTAAGATGGCACTTGATATTTTGTTGGGTGTGACTGGCTTATTTCCTAATTCTTGGCTTAGATCTGCACTGTCCAATACTATAGCTGTTAGCTCTAACTAGGTAAAAAATTAAAAATTTGCACTAATCACATTTCAGGTACTCAGTAGCCATATGTGGGCTAGTGATCAACATAATTGACAATCAGATATGAAACATTTTCATTATCAGAGAAATTTTCTTTTAAACAATGATTTAGAAGCTGTCGCATAAAAAAGTGGTTTAAAGAACTGGGATGATATGCTTTAGGAAGGAAAACAATAGGTTAATTTAAAGAATCAAAATGATCTATCTTTTGAGGAATAGATTAGGATGTTTTAGAAAGCAAAACCAGGAATTATAGCAAGAATATTCTAGCACTTGACTGCCTTAAATGGCAGGTGTTAAGTTATGTAACTTAAGAGATTTTTGCCTCAGTCTTTAAAAATACAGCTTTCCACAGATACAAACAAAGTGACCTTTGAAGCAGCACTAGAATAGGTGAAGCTGAGCCTAAATAACTATTTTTCAAAAATACTGGAATTAATCCTTGAGAAATGTTAAATATGCTCTGAAATTCTATGGAAACTGAATTGGGAAACTGAAGTGTAGCATTTGCTGTAGAATATATATGTATTTTTTTCTGCCTATTTTCACTCGTTTTGGCTTCTTTTTTAAGAGGTCTCTAGTGAAAACTGCTGTATGCTATTGTTATAGGCCAGACTGCTTTATATAAAGGAGTAGAAATAGCAAAATAGAAGAGACAAGGCAAACTAGACAATTTAATTACACTGTTGTCTGAGAGGTTAGCCCTTTTGTTGCCCTGGCCAGCTTTTTGTTTTAGGTCCCAAAATTGTACCTCATGAAATACAAAGTGCAAGTCTTTATGTTTATTCATACATTAGACATAGATTAATTACACGATTTTATTTTTGTGTACATACTTGCTTAGCACTCATTAAATTTCTAGGCCAGTTTCAGGTAACTGGAGAGCCTTTATAAGTAGTTTATATTGTCTAGACCCAAGGTATGCAGTAAACATAGTCTGAAGCAAAATGGGAAACAGCATCTTCCTGAAAACAGGTTTAGAAATTCTAATCCAGTAATTTAAGATGTTTCCTTTCTCTGGTAGCAGAGCTGAGTTATACCTGTAAAAAAACATTGATACAGTTCACCAGAAAGGAAATTTTATTAGGTAGCAAACTTATGTACAGTATATATTACTTCCAGAGGTTTTAAGAGGAAACTAGTTTCCTCTTCAATATTAGGGTAATAATACTAATCAATATTAGTTCTAAAAATTCTTTTTTGGCGGGTGGGGGGTGTCTTTCTGTTTCATCTCTGAAGGTTCAAACAGCATAGCCTATTTGATAGAAGAGTTCATCTGAAAATAAGCAGGCTTATACCTAGACATTTTTGATAGGATTTTCCTTTAATAGAAGTGCTCACTTTAGACTACTGTGTTTATGAAGTAGCTTTTTTATGTTATACATCATATTTACAGCTTTGTAGCTGGAATTCAAAATACAAAGTTGAGAACTTGAGCTACATACCAAGAGATAAAGTATGATAAATGTCTAGAACTGTTTGAAATTCTTGAGATGTAATTTTGATTACTTATTAAGAGAATTTTATTAAAGTTACTGCTCTAAAAAATAGAAAATGGGCCCTCTCTGGTGGCATTAGGATCAGCACTGCAGGCTGGTGGAACTCAGTGCAAGTTACATTCCCAGCCCCAGACGTGATCCACATGGCGTGGCAGGCGTCTCCTGACCCGCCCACTGCTCCTCTCAGCATTGTACTTCTATCAGTCTGCCTGTTGTGCTCTCCCGGTCCCTACAGTTCTGGCTTGTATCTCCTCAGTTCTGTATGCATAAATAAATAAATCATTAAAAAATATATATAAAAAAGTAAAAAAAAAATAGAAAATATGTTACTATTCAAAGTTGCACATGTTCTAGGCAGTTATTTATAAAAGATTCAGTGATGATGAGAAAACAAAGAATCCTACCTGGCTGCTAGGCCTCCATTCACAGGTAGAGCCAAGAAAACAGGGTAAAGACCACCCAAAACAAAACCAACCAATCCTCCCCGTGTCACAGTACATGTTTCACAATTCAAGTCACCTAGGAAATAAATACTGGAAATGAAGGTCATGACAGTCAAGCAAACATGGTTTAAAGAATACAAGGTTCCCTTTTACGTGTCACATTTTCAGGCAGTAAATAATAGCAAAGGCAATTCTACAATGCGTGTTAAAAGGTATAAATAACTGCATGTATACATCACCTTAGACATCCAGGAATTACGTAAATTTATCTTAGGAAAAGTTCTTAATTTGTTCTAAATATGTGAATATATTAATAGTAAAGGCAATTCTACAGTGCATGTTAAAAGGTATAATAACTGCATGTATAGATCACAGACAGCCAGGAATAATGTAAACTTATCACAGGAAAAGTTCTCTTAATTTGTTCTAAATTTGAATATAATATCTTGGTTTGTACTTCTAGCTTTTTGCGTTTGTACTAGCAAACTAGAGCTAATATATTTGTCTTTAAAACAATTCCTATGCCATCTTATATTCTTACATAATTTGATATAACTTTATTTTTATAAATTACTCTTTCCAAATTAATGTTTATTAAAAGTAGCTAAGTTTTCACTCAGTCTGTTCAGTTCAGTGTCTGTAGGTCTCTCTGGATTATAAAATTTCCTTTCATATTGAACATAACCAAGCAAAATACTCATGCAAGTAAATAGTATTTAATTTGAGATAGCATTTAGGAAGATGTTAGTGGATTGTCTCCTTCCTCACAACCTGTAGTACTATTTTGATGCCATTAATTAAACTTTTTTTTTTATGATTAACTGTTCTCAAAGCACTCAGCACACAATAAGCTGTCAAGGAGAAATCAAGAAACCATGTTTGGTAGTTATTAACTACATAAAGAGTCTTAGTACTTTTCCCCTTAAAAATACACAAATATTTTTTAAAAAGATTAATCCAGTCAACATTTTAAAAAAATTGAAAATACTTCCTACTCTGAGTACTGTGGGGAAGCTAGAGAAAGGAAAATATTTAGAACTGCTGGGGAAGTTAGATAAAATATTTAGAATTGCATTTTATTTGTTTTGTAAATAAATGATACTAATATGAATAAACTACCGCTTAACACAGAGGTTTGAAATGTTCAGTCTTACTGAAAGTGCTAAGACTACATTATTGCAGTGTTGCTATTTGATAAATAGTTAAGGATTAGTGTAAGGCACAACAATTATTAACACAAACTGATGATAGTGAAACAGAACTTACCTGTACTCAAAGGCATATTTACAAAACTTCTGTAAGATAGATCTGCTGTCAGAAAAGGGATCACTGCCATTGGTAAGCCAGAAGCTATGCGAGCCTGGGTCACATTTAAGACACGTCGAAAAAGACTATTTGCTATTAATCCACAGAGAGCTGCGTTAATTCCTACATATGTTGACCCATGTTCAAGTAGATTCCTGAGTGGGTGAGGAAAAATAAAACAGTAACCTTTTCTTTGGCTCTGTTGTGTGTGTGAGCGCTGCAAGAAATTCTGGCGTCTTAATTTATCAGGATTTTAGGAGCAGTAGGATAAAACATCCCTTCTTGGCCCTCCCTGGTGGCGCAGCGGGTTAAAGCACTGCACTGAGAAACTAGAGCCACTTTCGCATGAGTTCGATTCCCGCCTGCCCCGGAGGTGACCACATGGTGTGGCAGACCTCTCCTGACCCACCCGCTGCTCCCCTCAGCAGTGTACTTTGTTGATCTGCCTGTTCTGCTCCCCACTCTGTCTCTGGTGAAGCCTCTCACCGCCCCTGAGCCTCTGGCCTGTACCCCGGTTCTGTATGTACAAATAAATAAATCTTTAAAAAAAAAAAAAATCCCCTCTTAACTTAATGAAATAAACACCTTTTAAAATCATGTTTTACAAGATTTTTATTGTAAAAGGCTTGAAAATATAAACACAATAGTGAGGTCTTACTAAATATATTTTGTGATTTTGCAAAAGATACTTTGCAAAGGAACTTTACAAAATGTTATCCCCAACTGTACATCAGGGGAGAAGTTCTGAAGAGTGGTTTTGATTTGAATTCCTCTGGGAGCTACAATACCCAGTATTTAACCTCTAACTCATCACACAGTATAAAGCATTATTTTATAATTATTGATTTATAGATCAGGTTTCCCACTAGCCTGTACAAAACTTGAAGGTAATGGATACAGGGCTATATTCTTGATTTCACTAACACTTTTTTGACATATAGCATTCAGTGAGGTAGAGTTAATGTTTTCACACTTCCCTGAAGCACTAGGATTGGGACTGAGGGTGAGGTTGAAGGAGTACTAACATTGGAGGAATACACTGTGCTAGGTACTTTGCAACAACCTATTGAAATGAGAAATTAATACTCTGAGATAATTAAGTGGTACATCTGGCTTTAAAACCAAAGTGCTTGAATTTAAAATTCACGTTCTATGCATTCATTACCTTTGGGCAGGGGGTGTCGGTGGGGAAAGATCTCAACTGGTATTAGTGGATAGTGAAAATACTCCAAACTCTAGCTTGCTCTTTTAAAAAATTTTTTACCATCTGTCTTGCCATCTACAATACAGGTATCAACCACTACATTACCTTTAATTTGGACAGCCACTCCTACAACTTCTGTGGTTATCACCCATCTTAAAATCGCTTTCTAGGAATTCTAAGTGAGCTTTCTATTTGTGTAAGGTATTAACTTGTCAGGTTTGCAGTCAAAATAGTGCTTGTCATTCAGTCACTGAGCTCCTACACTATGCAGCAAACTTGGGTGATGAAGATAAATCTACCTTCATTTTTTTCAGTTTATTACTAGAAGATGAAAAATGTAAATGAGATATAACAGAAGACTAGTACATGGTAGTAGTAATAAAAGAGAAAAGGCAGTTTAGGATACACAAGACAATATTTAAGGAATAATGAAAATCTAGAAAACTTTCAAACAACATCGGAAAACTATTATGAGAGACTTGTGTATTTAATCTGAAATGTTCTACATCCATTTTAATCAAAATGGAACCAATGCTCAGATTTTTGTCCATATATTTTATATATTATAAAAGTTCTAAATTATAATTACACAAATAGTGTTAGATATAGTAAATTTGACAAATACATAAACAAGCAGTGCAGCAAAATCTGGATATCAAGTTTGCTATCTCCCAGTTAGATTTTAATTTCTTAATTGCTTTTAAGTCACATTTTTTAAGTTCATAATTCATTTACTACAAAATTATTAAGTAGTTAGCAGCCCCTTTGCCAGGCAATTTTCAAGATGTCTATACCACCAGTCACTCATGACTTGTCAAGACATGTGCAACAAAATAACTAGATCCATAACACATGAAATACAAGACCAAATTTAACAGGTAACAAGGAAATACAGATTACATGAAATTTCTTTATAGATCAGGAATTGAAATTTTTGAAATTAAAGGTTAATACACTTAAGAACTTTACAAATAACCACTAAATATATCTAATGGTAACACAAAAAAGGAGTGAGGATTTAAACCTAAAGAGAACCAAGAGACAGGAAAACTGGGGAACAAAGCAAAGATAACAAGATCCTATCATTGGCATCCAATTTGAGTTAATATTTGAGAGCAATTTATTACTTCCAGTATTAAAAGTTAACTTTCAGTTAAAATCACTTGATTCTCCTTTATAGCTGCTGAAAATCTCATGACTGTCTTCCAAAGCTGCTATCATCTATCCTACCCTTGTTAGTCTTTCTGGTTCTCCCTACTTTTATGGGCTTGGAAACTTGCTTGAAAAGTTGTTTTCACTCAGGAAAACATCAAACAGTGTGTATATGTGTGGTGGGTAAAATATTAGTGTGGGAACAAACTACGAAATTTCACCAAATTCTCACTACTGTCTTTGGTTTTTATGTTTTCCTATGTTGAAATGGCTAAATAACAGAGTTTGGCCAAGACAGATTATACCTCCCAAATATATTTTACATCCAACATTTCTTCATCTCAGCTCACCACCCCACCATCATCTCTCACCAGGATTACTATGCCAGTTTTACTACTGTATTCCACTTTTCTCCTCTTAAACCTAATTTCCAAAAAGCAACTGGAATATTCTTTCAAAATGTCAGCTGGATCACTACATTCCATGTTTAAAAAACCTCTTCCTGTTAATATACCCATTTCCCTTGAGCTTCAGTAACTCTTGATTCCTCAAAATGACAAAATTCTGCTGTCCTGTGGCTTGGGTGTGTAACATTTGCCTCTGAAATAGCGTGCCCCTTTCTTTCCCAGGCTGGCTCCCTTTCATCCTTTTTAATCTCAGATTTTAGTCAGAGGGGCCTTGCCAGTGATAAGTACTCTAAAGTCTCACAGAAGTAAACTAATTCACTCATTGTTGTCTTCAAAGATGAGTATGTTTTCTATATATCCTTTTTCTGTTTAGTGATACCTTAAAGATATTCGAACAGAAATCCTATTTTTGCTGACATTCCTTATCTAGCATGGAATTCTCCTACCCTGTAAGTATAGTGATAGAAATGAATTGAGAAAGAGGATAACATCTATTTTCAAGTTTTGTTATTTGGAGTCCATTTGTTAGTATGAGGCCATAAATGCTCACATTTGACTATATGCTGAGCCAAAAAAAAAAAAAAAATAAGAACCATCACATAATTAGATAATGTCCAAACATGAATACTTGCATGGATATAAAGCACAATCACTATTAATCTCTCTGGCCGTTAGTTTTTCTCATGAAGGGAAAGCACCATTTCCTTATCTCTGTTTATACTCAAATTAAGTTGACATAATAAACTGATGAAAGCCACCTGGTAAATAAAGTTTTTAAGAAGGGATCTTACCTGTCTGCTTCTGGAAGTTGGTTAATTTTTCTGGTTATAATGTTGAAAATTAAGTTTTCTTTGGCAGTATCATCCGGTTCATGATTTTCCATCTTGAGTATTAATTTTTCAAAATATGTATCTATAGAAAAATGAGTAAGTCTTAAGACCACACATCTTTAGAAACAACTAGTTATAAACTGAAGTCATACTCTACAAAATCAATGCATATACATCATTAACAAAAATAATAATTTCCAGGTGATAACAGAAACCAGAACATAAAAGGGACAACAAGGGGAGACTGGAAATACAGAATATAATCCTTAAAGATAGGCAATTTGGGGGCCCTCCTTGGTGGCACATTGGGTTAGAGCATAGCAACTAGTCTCAGCCACCTCAGGACAAGTTTGATCCCCTGCCAAGGAGTGTGGCAGATTTCTCCTGTCTAGCCCACTACTCCCCTCAGCAGTGTACTTCAAGAATCTACCTGTTCTGCCCCTCATTCTGTCTGGTAAATCCTCTCGCCATACCTGTACCCCAGTTCTGTATACATAAATAAATCAATCTTTAAAACTGATATTAACCAAAATTACTTACATTCATCAATTAGATATTTTAAAGATAAGCTGGTATGAGAAAGTATTTGCAATATAACTGACAAAAGAGTAAATAGTATACAGAACATAGAAAAAAGAAAAAGAAAAAAAGGCAAGCAACAGGAGAAAAATTGACCAAAAGTTTTGAACAATCACTTCACAAAGTGAAAGAATGCTTAACCTGGTCAAATTCAAGGAAACAGAAACATGCAAGATGCCAGTGTGCACTTAGGTTAGCTTAAATCTGACAATTTCAATTAATGACAAGAATGTTAGGGTGGTGGTGCTGGTGGAAGTGGAACCCGCCCAATTTGGCCACACTGGGAAAGGTATTCCGTAAGTGGGTAAAAGTTCTGACCTCGCAGCCCACAACAGGTCACAGTGGTGTCCTCGTTATTAATTTCCTATAAAAGACAAAGGCACCTTAAGGTTTACCATGCATTTACTTTCACCTCATTCAGATTATATACAAAACAGGCTATGAGTAACTAAAATTGGGCCTGTGAAAAAATAAGGCCAGTCGCTGTGAACAGGCTATAAATCCAAGATTAAATTATGTTGTCGGCATTCTACTCCCCCTCTCCTGGCTTCATTGAAACAAAAAGTAAAAAGGCTCTGGGCGCCCAGGGGCGATTCCTCCCCTTGCTACTAGGTCCGGGATCCCAGCTCCATGCTGCCGGGAACAACGTGTCACCATGCTGAGCTTCTAATACCAAGGCAGTTACTGTACCCCTTTACCCTAAGTGCCAGTACCTTACTCTCCCAGCAGTAGGTTGCTCCTCCAATATTCCCCAGCCGCATTGAGGCTCACAGTAACCTTCGCCCAGCTCGCCAGGGAGCAGCCATGTTGTTGACACGTGACTGGCCCGCGGGGCGCGCGCCTTCGCGGCTGCTGATTGGGTTCTCCGCGTCGCGGTTCGGAGCAGTGGCCACGGCTTCCTGCAGACCCGCCTCCAACCGGGAGAGTAGTTGAGCCTCGCAGTGTGGATTTTAGGTGAGCTCGGAGAGTACTAGTTATCAACTACCCCCACTTCCCGGGACTGACATTGTGAAACTTTGGCATGAAAGTTTTGTGACCCTAAACCTGCCCTTTCACTGAAAAGCTACCTTGTGCAAATAACCTATGGGTCAGTGGAACTTACCTTTTAGGTGTTAACATAGAGTACAGGAAAATTGCCCAGTTATATACCATGGGTGTACCGCTCCATTTATTTTTCAGTTCTCTCTTGGATCATATGCTTCGTCATGATTTGATTGATTGTCTCACTATAATAGAGCAGGATCTTTTTTTTTTTTTGGAGGATCCCTTCTGCCCTAATGAGTACCAGTTGCAACAGGATTGACTGAATGTGGCCAAAGAAATTCTTTAAAGAGCACATGGGACTATGGTGATGGCACATGAGTAAAGTGATAGTGGGAAGTCCACGGGGATTGCAGCTGAGATGAAAAAAAAAGTACAAAATGAAGAATAATGTAAAATATATATATTTAAAGAATTTCTTATATATGTGTATTTCTTATATATATACTTCATATATTCTTCAAAGAGCTAGGGTAGCTGTTAGCTCTATCAGTCAGGACGGTTTGAGAACCAAAGTGTTGGATCAAGACTCTGAAGACCTCTAGCTCTGTTTTTACCCTCACAGCCTCTTTCCTCATCTGTAAAGCAGAAAAGGAAATAATACTGGATTTTATTAATCCGTGATATTGTGAGGCTCTAATGAAAATGCTGAACAAGATTGTTTTGAAAATCAGTAGGTTTTATCAAAGGGGAAATTGGTGTTCCAGACAGAGGGGTTTGATACATAAGATAAACAGAAGAAGAGCCTTCTCAACTCGTGGGCCAAGAGAGATTTATCTGATATCAAATCTTCTCTAGTCAGTAATCTAAAAAATAAACACAGGTTCTCAGGTTCTGAGGCAGAAAGTCAGTACTAACTGCAAATGGAAATTTGAAGATAGATGCAGAGAAAGTTGAGGAAAATCAGTTAATCTAACTATAATGTGTGTGAATACTTTGTTTCCTAGCATACCACTCCCATTTATTATTTTATTTCAGGTTCATTTTTAATGTTTTGAAGCTAATTTTGAAATTAAAAAATGTTAATACTGTTCCTTATCAGTAGCCCATTCTGGAAAAATAAAGGTAATTTGAATATATTTGTTACAAAGCAGAGAGTAGGGTACCCCATAACCCCTAAACCTACCTCCTCTAACTTGTTTCCGCTATCCATCACATCAAGACAAAACATACTCTGTGCGCAAGACCCTTAATGGAAAGGAACTTTCATACAATTATGCAATAATGAGAAAAAAAGGGAAAAAATAGATAAAAGTTTCCAAATGAAGCACTCATAGTTACCCATATCCTTGTAGTTAAATGTCCAGCCAAACAGGGCTGGCCCACAGCAGGGCTATTGAGGCCAGAAAACTGCCACAATGTAAGGCACCTCCTGATGGGGACTCACAGGAAGGGGCCAGAAAGGGCACAGTTGGTCTGAGACAGAAGGAACAAAATCAAGATAAAAGCTACTATTGCTAACCTCCCCATGGGTCTCTCACCCACATCTGTTTCAACCAGTCCGGGACCAAGAAGCAAGCACAGTTCCTCCACATGTCTCTGCTCCATGTGCCTCCAGGTTTCCTCTGTCTTTCCATACTTCCTCCTTCCCTCCTCTGTCTCTCTACTTCCCCTCCTCAGCTCCATGTGCCTTGGGTGGGACAGGGAACCTAAAACCTTGCATTTTCCTGGGAACCACCGTGTACATATTGAGGTTAAAAATATTAAAGGGAATTATGAACTGAGCACAAAAGAATGGTAAAATTTTAAGTAGATAAAGGACCTTACAAGTAAGAGGCAGCTATCAGAAAATATAAGGTATTTAAAGAAATGACTAATATGGCTTGGTTAATGTTTAAGGTTAAGGAAAGAAAATGAAATCATCTACAAAAGGAAAATGTTCAGTTCCAACGTTTAGAGAAAATTAAAATGTCTGGAACTGAAACAACAGAACATGACATTATTGGTTTCCGTTTACTCTCAGACTTCTAATGAGGTTGTGGTAACTTAAATCTGTTCCCCACAAGGACTTTATAGTAGCAAATATATTAAATTACATTGAAAAATCAGTTTATATTATACCCTACTATTTAATGACTTGCTATAGACTTTGAATAAGAGAGTTTTTATACTGTCTATCTAATTCATGGTTGTTTAACTGTTAGGCTCCATGGTACCAAAGAGGTCATAATTGTAGTTTCTAGATTTGCATAGCTGTAGATTTATTTTCACAAAAATATAAAAGAAGAAAATTTCTAGTGTTCCCTTCACACACTTAATTTCCATTTCAAGGTTTTAAGTCAAACTCTAAAATATAGTGTTCTGCTTACTAGGCTCAACAAAATGAAATTTCACTATGGCTTTTCTACATTTATCTGCATCTTAATTATGTAGAAACTATGAAACCAACTGATACAGAATAATGGGAAATGTTGAAAAAGTATGCTATAAATGCAAAGTTAAGAATTTATAGAATGCTATAAATGCAAGGTTAAGGATTTGCTCTCCTTTGTATGCTTTATTTTCAAAGACACATTAGTTATTGAATATGGGAGTGAAGTAATCGTGGTTGCACTTTGATAACACTCCAAGTATAGGAGGAGAAAGTATGACATATAGAACCAGTGATACTCATTAGTGTATCCACATCAAAAAGGCAAAGACATCTTGTACTCAAAAGCAGAAAGTCAAATTCCTGCTTATACCTGGGTTCCTACTGTTCAGTAAGGTCACGGCAACATTATCCAGCTTTCAGGTCATGGCAACATTATCTATCTTGCTGCACAAGCCAGAAACACCTGTCCTACATCACTGAAATATAGACTAACCAATCTTCCTTGATTTTCCTCCTCCAAATCCTTCACACCATTTATCTCTCACATAAGCACTGGGATTACTCTTGAGTCTCAGTTTCCATTCTGTCTTCTTTCACCTATTCTTCATGTAGCAGGTATGGCTGATTTTAGCTGTGCACTGAAGGGAGGGAGGAATAGAACTGTGATATGCCCAACAAACATAGCTGTTCTGGAGTAGCAGATACAGAACTATTTGTCTCTGTTCCTAAAAATGAAGGCAATTGTTTGACTTCACAAAGGCTTTGAGAAATACTGAAAGAGAAGAGATAATTTTACACTTTCATAGTCTTCCTGAACTTGTTCTAATAATATGTTGACACAGAAAGTAGCTAATTCATTCAAAATAAATGTAATCTATTTATCCCCACCATTACCATGCTAATCTAAACCACTGTCATCTCTCACTTGAATTTATACACAATTATCTGTCATCAAGACACATTCATGAGATAGCACCCTGACTTCAGAGAAAATAGTTGATGCAGGAAGATTTCTTATTTTTCAAAGATGATTTTTTTAAAAGAGTAACTTCCAGTTTCTGAACATCACAGACCCTTCCTGTTGGTCATAACATTTGTAAAATGCTGAACAAAGCTTATAAAAGTGATTTTTTTTGAGATGCTGGGAAACAATCAAAAAGTGTGTAATATTCTTTCCACTCTAAAAGTTCAAATCTTTTTTTTCAAAGATCTATTTATTTATGCATACAGAACTGGTATACAGGCCAGAGGTGCAGGGGCAGTGAGAGGATTCACCAGAGACACAGTGGGATGCAGAGTAGACAGATCTACTAAGTACACAGATGAGGAGAGCAGTGGGAGAGACAGAAGAGGTCTGCAGCACCATGTGAATCACCTCCGGTGCCAGGGATCCAACTCCCACAAAAGCGGCTGTGGCCAACTTGCCGTGTTGCATCCTAACCTGTTGCATCACCAGGGAGGCCAAAGAATTCAAATCTAAAGTTTTGAAATGCCTGCACAACTGGATGTTAAAAGGCAAAGACCTAGAAAAGGGAGCCACAAGAAAGAGATGGGGGTTCAAAGTCCATGTAGAAAATTCCTTCAAATCTTTGACTGACACAACTCCATGTGCAGTAAGTAAATAGACCTTAAGGAACCCAATGGACAGCAACAGCACAAAGATGAGAAGAGGTGAAGTGGTATTCCAGCCACTGTTAGATATACTGTTTGAGTTTAAATATTTCCAAGTTGTATAGACTGAGTGAAAAATTTGGATATTCTGTTGAACAGTTTGAAGTCTCACATCTAAGAAGTACCAAGAACCAAAGTGTATGCCCTAAAACTAAGGTTAAAAAACAAACAACCTAATCAATGCCATTAAAAGAAAAATAACGTTAAACAATAAGAAAGGAGAAAAATGAAATGGTAAAGGAAATCAATGAAATGGACATGACAGAAAATAGAAAAAAATCAATCATAGCTCTTTGAAAATGTTAATGAAATCAGTAGACCTGAGAAATATCAACCAAAGACAGATAAATATCTTTATTTTTTTACTGAAAGAGGGATCATCCATTCAGATTCTACATGTATTAACAGGATAAAGAGGGGTTGTTATGACTAACTTTAACTCAGTATGTTCAACAACTTAGATGAAATAGACAAATTGTTTTCTCTAGTTGTTATCTGCTTATACAGGGTTACCCTTTATTTTTGTAGACTATCTTATAACTGTTCTTGCTAAATCCAATATGAATAAAGATAGTTTTAATATTTTCCAACCTGAATACCTTTTATTCCCCTCAATGGAAATTACTTATATGTTCATTTCACTTAAGTTCTCAAATTTATTGGCTTTAATTATTCAAAATAACCCTTCTCAAATCTGTAGAATCTTTAGTAATTTCACATCTCTCCTGATATCAGTCATTTATGTCTTCTTTTTTATATGTCTAATCCATCTGGCTAATAGTTTGTCATA